TGCTGTGTTGCTGGGGCAAGAGGTAGAGCTTTTGAGTGAAACCCACACAGCAAACACCCAGTGTGTGACCAATGCTGCTTTTCAGTCTACAGTGGCACAGCCAATGTGTTAATGAATGAGGAAGAAAATTAAGCCAGAACAAAGGGATATCATGAACACTGTCAAAATACAGCACAAGCATATCCACAACGGCCAGCATGGCACCTTTTATTACAGTCAGAACAAAACGGACACCTGTGAAACTCAGCTAACTGACTTTCAAACTTAAATTTGTGCTTGATGTATTAGAACTGGGTTGGTACATTTACAGACCAGTTGTGTGAATGCGACACAGTAGAATTGTTTTAGAATCTGGTAAGGGACTTGTGAATACCTTGTTAAAAGAAAGTGGAGTTTTCTGGTTCAGAACAGATCTCTTAAGAAATATGCCTTCCTCCTTATGTAACTAGTTTCAAATGATTTAAGAAGTTCAGAAAGTGAAGTAATATTTTCATGGGTGGTTTAATTCAAAATGCCAAAATAAAGTTACTGCAAATAAAAGAGTATATATAATTATTCTTGATAACAAAAATACTGCTTCATGACTTTGACAAAAAATCAGAAACAAAGTATTACTTGTAATGGTGAAGCAATACACTTCCTTTTTTTATTTGCTCTCTCTTTTTCTTATTATCTGTCCTATTTTCTTCTCTTCCATGCTTTTACCCACATTTTAACTGTACATATTTTTCAGTGAAAAAGATCATGAATTCATGACTCTAGGAGATAGTATACACACATACAATAAATTATTTCATGTGTTCCTTTATATCTTATAATTTTATATTTGTGATAAATAAACACTAAAAATAAGAGTCTTACAAGTAGGTATTATAACACAAATGCATTAAAATTATATTTGGAGTAATAAGATTTGGGAAATTTCAGCACCTGCTTGTTACTGTATACAAATGGGCTAGTTCCAGATTTATTACATAATACTGGGGAAAAACCAAGCAATCGTATTTAGGAAACCAATAAAGAAAGTTTCCTCTGAAGGTACGAATGCGAAACACTGAGTCGATGATGATCACAGATACGTAACAAAAATCCTTAGTGAGAGTATAAGCAATTAATTCTGCTAAGTAATTAGAAAAAACAATTCAGAGATTATTTTCACCAGTCAAATTTTGACCTAGGATTACACTTATTCTTTTATTACGGGTTTCCTCTTCTGCTCAGGAAAACATATGCCTAATCTTGGGTATGTAGAGCAGAACATGGAACATAACTGTAGTTCAATGGTCAATGAAATAAAATGCCATACAGTGCTGTATATATCATGTCCAGGATAACTAACTCACAATGCACAGGTAATGAAACTGCGTCATGTTGGCTACGAGAAAGCTCAGGTCTTCACTTGCAGTCCTTACTTGAAAATGTAGAGGATTTCATAGATGCATTTTTACTGACTTCTCTTCTTGGTCTACTTGATTCCTTATTCCATTTTCCTTCCACCTATTCCACATATTTTCCTTTGACTTATTTCAATTTATATTTTATTATTACATTGTATTAATCTTTTAAAGTCAGATTTGGAGACATAATTGTGACAAGAATTCCCCAAATTAAGCATATTCTCTAAAAGTGGTGTCATAGCACCTACCACAGTGGGCCCCAATGTAATTCCCTCAGAATGGACATGAAGCAGCAATGATTACCTAATAGTGTCATGTAGAATCAGTGTTATTTACACAGTGGTAAAATTTCTCCCATTTTACAAGTTATCTTTCTGCCAAAATGCCAGAATGTTTTACATAATCCTCCCTGTCGCTGTACGCAAAGCAGAGAAAGAAAAGCAGATCCTTCTTTAAATTTTTGGCTGGTATGTATTTGTGCAGAACCAAGTTAGCAACAGAGATCATTTCAACTATGGGAACACAGTAAAAGGAGAGTGCTCTTTGTAGGCAGGGGCAAGGAGAGAGAGAGAGAGAGAGAGAGAGAGAGAGAGAGAGAGAGAATCAGCAATTAGTTTAAAAATTTAGATTTAAGGGGAGAATCCATTCCAGTCCTGCCGTAGATCAGTACAGAATAATAAGGAGATACTGAAGACAATAAATAAATGAATAAGATTACTGGAGCCCAAGAAGAAGAGGCTGTAAGCAGACTCAGCCTAAGGTATCATTTATTCCAATCACCAGGGAGAACTGGAGATCAAAAATGCACGCTTGCATCTACCTTTCCTTTGACAAAGCCAGTTAGTCATTTCAAACTCACCATTTCGATTGGGATTATCAGATCATCATCTCCAGCAAGCACTTGCTGACAAGACTCTCCTGCTCAAGGCAGACAGGTAACTTCCTTTGAAGATTCTGTTTTCTACCAGCTACATTTAAAGTTTGCTTTTCGGCTTCTTCCATAATTTTATTCATGAAAGCTTTGAGAATGAAGAGTAATTCCTCTTCAGTGCATCCTTCACTGGCTTTCTTCTTTCTCATACCTACAGCTCTTTCATTGGGGT